TCCCCCCCCCCCCATGCTGACGATCTTCTAAGGTGCTCCGGGACTCCAATCTAAGTGTTCCCCGTAGCTAGTAACTGTAGTATGAATGGGAATATATTCATATATAGGTTTTTTCCTTCTTTTTTAAAATTTATTTTTATTCTTTTACTTAAAAGTACACATAAACACAAATGGAGGAATTGGAGGTTCAAACATTACATGCGTAACACTGTGTATCCTACAAAGATGTGCAAACAATGTCCACTATAAATATTACATCAACTATGAGCCAGGACGGTTCTTTAGTCTAACTCATGGTGACCAAATATAGCTACGTTAAGTTAATTTATCTTAAAGGCTGCTCTCCTCATTTCCACCCTTGATCATTGCTACATATCGTACAGTGTATATGTGCTTACACCTCTTATTCAGGAACCGCTGATATCATGTGCATTATAGGAACAACCACCTGTGATATATGTGGTTTGTGGGTAATATCTCGTGTTTCGTCATATAGTCCACTACCGGTGACCAGAACCTTCCAAATTTCATATTCAATGTGGTGTTAGAAGCCTGGACCCCCTGATTTAAATTGTTGAGTTTTGCCATGACAAACTGTTCCCACAGCTTGTCATGCCACAAAGATAGTGTAGGAGGATCTGGAGATTTCCACAGCGCGGCTATTGTTAATTTGGCCGTTGTTAGCAGTAGCGACGTGAGATGTCTCTTGTCTTCCTTTGTAGAGTCGTCCCATTTATTCAATAAAATCGTTTCCGGCTTAAAGGAGATTCTTTGACTAGTCATGTCCCTTATTCGTAGAGTTATCTCCTTCCAGAATTGGTTAATTACTGGACAACTCCACCAGCAGTGAATATAAGAGCCTACCTGCCCACATCCCTTCCAACACGTAACGTTGGTTTTTTTTCCTTCTTGATTGTAAATATTCATATTTCTCTGGTTTTTATAGATTTGTTCTTTAAGTAATATTTTATTAGGATGTTAGAAAGGCCTGTTCTATAGAAGGCTTTCCTCTTGTAGGTCTGATATTGTTAGCAGACAACATAATAAGTACAAAGTTCATGATTCTGTAGTTCTTAGGGCAAACCTTGCAATGTCTGGGTCAGATAAGATTTTAGTCTGATATGAAGAATCCTTGCCCATTATCATTTAGGTTAGGTTAAGTAAAACACTTAGTTTGACGTAGATACATGTTTCTTTATATCTGGCCAATCAGAGGATTATTACTCAAATGACCACTGTCTTTTGTAACCAATTATGCTGTTTGAATATTGTTTTCTTGATGATGTCAGTCCATGTATAAAATATCATGTATTTCCTGAATATGTTCAGAATATGCTCAAGGAGAAGATGAAGAAGAAAAAGAAGTAAATAGTCAATTTTTGATTAACTATTTGGTCTAATTGTTTTTCTATTAATTGAAGCATATTTCCTGAATATGCTGAGAAGAAAGTAGTCAATTTTGGATGGACTATTTGGTCCAACTGTTTGTCTGTTAATTGAAATAAAACATAGATCTTCCTCCTCATTCGACTTCATTTTTGACATGGAATCTATGGAACCTGTTAATTGAAATAAAACACAGATCTTCCTCCTCATTTGACTTCATTTTTGACATGGAATCCGTGTCATTTTTGACATGGATGGGCCTCTCCTCCACGAACCCTTTCAAAACAACCACTGTGTCCACTGCCGGTCAAGTTCACAACTGACTTAATCCACTAAGTAGAGCAGTACCTCCTTTGGTTCCTTCACTGGTGCTTGTTCATCACAGCTCCCCCGGCTTCACCCGGCTGTGGCAGAGGTCCCACAAGGGCCACCCCACCCCACCCCCCCATGTCAGCCCCAGAGCAGCAGGAGCCACCTCCTCCGCAGGGGCCTTCAGAGTAGGGGTAGGCGGGGCACTCGGGAGCCATCAACCACCTTCCAAGCAATTAAAAAGCAGATCTCTGCCACCCAGGGCTCTTTTTGTAGCAGGTGCTCATTTGCATATTAAGTGACACACCCCTAATGTAGCCAATCCTCCAAGAGCATACAGTAGCTCCTGTAAGAAGAGCTCTGTAAGCTCTTGGAGGATTGGCTACAATAGGGGTGTGTCGCCTAATATGCAAAGGAGTTCCTGCTACAAAAAGAGCCGCCGGCTCTAACCACCGGGAGGCTTAAGCAGAAGCGACCAGGTTCCACCATCTAAAAAGAGAGCGTCTGGTTCCCAACCGTCAACTGACTCACCAGCCCCTTTTACTATCCTGAATAGTTCTGAAGGGATATGGAGGAGAGATCTTACATTTCCAGGGAGCTTTACAGTCCGCCTTCTGGAGTTCTTCCACTCAAGTGACTGGAAAGCTGTGCAAGAGCCAACAACAGAGGCGGGACCAGCCTCCCAGCAAGAGAGGTTCCCCCCCGTTATCCATCCCCTTAAAAATCACATGTTCCAGAATTTAACACACCGGGCGATTTCGCACTAGAGCTGCCTCACGGTGCAGCCGCCGTTTGCCCCGACACTATTTGTCAATTTCACACCCGAGGCTGCGGGGCTGCATTTGACCCGCGGCTTCGCCCGGTTTCCTCCGCAGTTTCGTGATCCTCAAAAACCAGGATCACGAAACTGCGGAGGAAATCGGGCGAAGCCGCGAGTCAAAATGCAGCCCCGCAGCTTCGGGTGTGAAATTGACATGTTTGTGTCGGGGCAAATGGCGGCTGCACCGCGAGGCAGCTCTAGTGCGAAATCGCCCCCAGTCTCTCATTTAGGTTTAAGTATCAGTGATAAAACTACTCGATGGGCTCCGACAGGCTATTGGGACACACTGAAGGCATTTATTGTTCCTTGTCTCCTCTTTACCTGGTGAAAACTGTGCGGGACTCATTAACGTTCACCAGGAAGCCGTCAAGCAGAGGTACAAACATATCTGCTACATCAGACACGACCATCATCTGAGGCTGGGCTAGGGAGCTCTTCACATTGTAGAAGTGCAGAACTTTGTTGTAAGTGACAAAACCCACCCGGATGGCCGATTCTTCCATGTTCCCTTCCCTGTAAGAAAAAGGGGGAGGGGAGGGGGTTAGCAAACGACTGGCACTGGGCCTCCCTCCAGGACAACAAAAAACCAATCAGGGTCCTGAAGGAGTTCCACAGCTAGGGCCGACAGGACATTTCTAGCAGATGATAAAATTGCCAAACGGGGCAATTAGTAGAGCCCTCGCGATCAAGTCCCCTTTAGACGTTTGCATCCCACATCGATCTCATGGCTTGGACCTTGATTAAATCTTCTGCTACCAGTCCCCCTTCCCTTCCTGCTGCAGAACACACACACCCCTCCGGTTTGCAATCTCTGCAGGCCCTCCTGTCCCGCCCCCCCCCCCGGAGTAGTACTGGGGGAGAGATCAACTGGCATCATCATCATCACCATCACCATCACCATCATCATCATCATCATCATCATCATCATAAGCTTTATTGTCATTGTACATAGTACAACGAAATTAAGATGCAATCATTCGGTGATCTACAACCATACTCATATACACTCACACAACCATTAGGGTTCACATTGCAACTTAAACCACCAATGTCACCCAAATTCCAATTCATACAGCATTTAAAGCAATAATAGCTCTCGAATAAAAACTGTTTTTTAATCTGTTTGTCCTTGTTTTAATTGTCCTATATGTTCTACCTGAAGGCAGCAGTTCAAACAGGGAGTGTTCAGGGTGTGACAAATCCTGCAAAATGTTCTTTGCTTTTTTCAAGCATCGAGAACTATACAATTCCTCCATGAATGGGAGAGGACAGCCAATAATCTTCTGGGCTGTGATGATAACTCTCTGGAGTGCTTTCCTATCCACAGCTGTACAACTGGCAAACCAGGCACAGACGCAGTATGTTAAAATGCTCTCTATTGAGCAATGATAGAAAGAGTTAAGCAGTAGAGCAGAGACAGGAAATACCTGTTTCGCTGACGGAAGGGCCTTGCATTAGCAGAAAACCTAGCCTGGATCCTCCAGCCCACTGCTCCAGAGCACCTCCTTTCAGGGCCATCCATCCCATCTGCAGACTTACCTGGGTAGGTAATCCAGGAGAGTCTTCAATTCTTCACATATCAGCCTCACCAAACCACTCCTGACTGCATTGTATGACACATCGATCATGAAAATGAAGGCAGGGGGATTGGGGAGCTGGTTATTCTGCAGAGGAAAGTAGCAAAGAACATGATCACTGACATGCGTACATGTGAAATGCAGTTAGAACACACTGACACTCCACGGCACACAGCCCACCTGTGACGGAGCAGGTTCTTGCCTTGAAAACCCTACAGCAGTGATGGCGAGCCTTTTAGAGACCGAGTGCCCAAACGGCGACCCAAAACCCACTTATTGATCACAAAGTGCCAACACGGCAATTTAACCTGAATACGGAGGTTCTACTTTAGAAAAAACAACTCATACATTAACTTAAGATGATCCAGACAAAGTAAGGAAAGCAATCCCAAATGCTGTCATTTACTTAAAATTATTTGGCAGAGAATTCGACACTTTAATGATGGTCTGGGCCTGGCTGGGGCGATGGCACGCGTTGCCCACAGAGAGGGCTCTGAGTGCCACCTCTGGCACCCGTGCCATAGGTTCGCCACCACTGCCCTACAGGGTCGCCACGAGGTAGCAGTGACCTGACAGCAAGAGCAACAACAAAATGAGCCGTAGGCGAGAGCCAAAACGTAAGCCAGGGGCTACTGGGGCCGTCAAACTGTAGAGGCGGCTAGCTATATGAAGGGGCTGAAAAGATGTGCCACCTCAAGGAGAAAGCACCTTCCCTAAACACGTTCTACATCCAGGCGACAAAGAGGCTCTCTTAGGGGCTTCCCACTCTTTCCGTAAACATGCAAGGCTTTAAGAGCTTTCTGTTTGGTTTGGACGGGGAGCGGGAGTGACAAGACCCCTTTTAAAGACGCTTCCTAACTGGTTTAACCAACTGAAATGTAGCATTTTGAAAATCTGCCTTACTGTTACCTGCTCTAAGTGTTTGGCATGAGCCATCAAGAAACGGTGACGAGAATGATACCCCTACCCATGACTGGAAGCACATATAAAAGCATTCCACACCTCACACTCTGGTTGGGCCGACAGCAACTTCAACAAACATGAAGGTCTTAAGAACCGGAAGCCCGACTCCTGGGTAAGACAAGCACCCTCTGCTTGCGTACCTCCAGACTTCAATTTGAAAAAGTTCAGTCTAGTACATTTCCCACTGGGGGCAATGTAAGGGAGTGCGCTTCAGGTCTATAAAGCCCGGAACAGATTCCTACCTGCCCACCTGAGTGCGGGGGAATAGTGGGCATTTGCTTTCAGTGTGCTTAAGAGTAGCCATACCTTGCAGTAGTCAACGGTGGCCAAGAACTCATACGACCCCGAAGACAACTCCGGCCGGTCATAGTAATCCACTCGCCTGCCCGTGTGGTCCAAGTGCTGGAAGTAGTGAGATGGTACTGCAGAACAGAAGGGAACACACCCTGAGTGCTTTCTTGCCACCAACACCAAGCATCGCGACACCACCAAGGAGACGGTAGGTTTAGGATACACTCCAGAAAGGGTATGACAGGCACTGGGAGACGGCATAAGCCTTCCAAAAGCCTGCGGGATCCAGTTTCTGGTAGTGTGCTCGGCACTGGGGCAGCTGTCCACATTCGGCTCCTTTCACACATTCACACTCACACACCACTGCCGCAAACCAATAATCGTTATTGTTGTGTTTCTGCCTGTTGGTGAGACCTTGGGGTGGGCTGAGCACCCTCTTGCTAAGCAAAAAACACACGGGAACAAGCCCGCAGAAGACTAGATGTGGATCGCTGTTCAGCTCCCAACTGGACTGCCCTTGTGCAGAAATCAGCACCAAGAGGCAGATTTCAGCCTCTTGAGAACCTCAGCTTCGTCTGTAAAAAGCAAGCTTCTAGCCAATAAGCTAGAATAAGTTCCAGCTCCTGCCAACCTAGAAGTTCGAAAGCAAGAAATCGCAAGTAGATAAATAGGTACCACTTCGGTGGGAACAGCGTTCCATGCGCCTTGGTGTTTAGTCATGCCGGCCACATGACCATGGAAACATCTTCAGACAGCGCTGGCTCTTCGGCTTGGAAATGGAGATGAGCACCGCAACCCTAGAGTTGGACTCAACTGGCTTTCGAGCAAGGGAACCTTTACCTTTTTAGCCAATAAGACTGTCAAGACAGGTACAACGCAATCTTAGTTGTGGGGAAGAAGGAGGATTTCCCATGAGTAGCAAGTGCAAAATGATGGAAATGCTGAAATTCTGCAGTTGCCTGAGGACATCTCTTCAAGGGAAGGAAAGACCCTAGTCTGCTGGTTGTTGTTGTTGTTGTTCAGTCGCACAGTCGAGTCTGACTCTTCACGACCCCATGGACCAGCTCCCGCCATGTCTTCCGCCGTCCTTTGAAGTCTGCTGGTAGCCCCTCCCTTTCTGGGGGAAGACAGACTCCAAGACTGGAGGGCAAGGGGCCTCTCCCCTCACTCCCATACGCAAAGCAAAAAAGCTTCCCCACTAATAACAATAACAAAACCCCAAACTAGAACTGCTGCCAAGGAACTGAAATGTTAAAAAAGAAACCCAACCTAGGACGCAAAGATGCAGCATGTGGAAGACTCTCTCCTGCTCCCGGTGTGAGCAACAGGCTGCAGAAAGCACCAAGTGCTAGCTAGGTAGGCTCGGGAAGGGTCTGAAATCAATGACGTGCTTTGGTCTTAGATGGTGTCTTGCCTGCAAATGAGGTTACTCAAAGCCAGCTGGAAGGGGGCTGGAAAGAGAAGCAGGAGAGGAGGCAACCAGATGGCTCTCACTCTTGCCGTTCCTGGACGCTCTGCTCCGACCAGAAGAGGGGGGGGCGGTTTCCACAGTCCTGGCTGAGGGCCCAGGGAAAGCGCCTCGTGGGCTGCCTTGTCTCCTTATCTGCTCCTCCTCCAGCCCCTGAGGAGGGAACGGACCCTCCCCTTGAGGAGCACTTGCTGTGCTCAGGGACAGAGGAGAGATCCTCAGGGCCCGGAGCCAGCTCTGCATGCCTGTGGCCGCTTCTTTTTAACGCTGGGGGGTTTTGCTGCCGTGCGCCCACAGTCTTAACAGCCTTCCCAAATCGTATGCATCGTTAAGTGAGAACACACGGCACCAGCAACACAAAGCAGTTCTTTCCAGAAGGCTCACGTCTACGCCCATGAAAACTATTGTGTTTGAGCTTTAAAAAGGTAAACGGTTTCCCTTGCTCGAAAGCCAGTCGAGTCCCGACTCTAGGGTTGCGGTGCTCATCTCCGTTTCAAAGCCGAAGAGCCAGCGCAGTCCGAAGACGTTTCCATGGTCATGTGGCCGGCATGACTAAACACCAAGGCGCACGGAACGCTGTTACCTTCCCACCGAAGTGGTACCTATTTATCTACTTGCAATTTCTTGCTTTCGAACTGCTAGGCTGGCAGGAGCTGGAACTAGAGACGGGAGCTCACTCCGTCATGTGGCACACTGGGGTCTCGAACTGCTGAACTACTGACCCTCCACAGCCTGCAGTTCAGCGTCTTAACCACTTGAGCTCATCTAAAGAACACAACAGAACACACCTGTCACCCTGCTCCTTGACCCAACACAAGCTGCTCAATGGGAGGGGGGGGGGTAGGGGGTGGAGGAAGCCTTGGCCACAAAATCCTACCTGTACAACTTACCGTCTGGCCCCTGAAAGCTGAATGGTGCCGTGCGTATGAGTTAGGCAAAGGGCTTGCTTCTTCACTTGCATAATCTAATTCTGCAAGGAGCCAAGCGAGACACAAAACCCTTGCCCCTCATCCCCCCTTTTGGCTTCTGAGGCTTCCCCAGACATTGCCCGCACACTTCTGAAAGCATCCTTGCAACCACGAGGGCTAAAAGAGCCGGTGTCGTGTAGTGCTTAAGAGTGTCGGGACCACGACCTGGGAGACCCAGGCTCGAATCCCCACTCTGCTATGGAAGCTCAGCAGGTGAATTTGGGCCAGTCACTTTCAGTGTAGCCTACCTCCTGGGGTTATTGTTGTGATCATGAAATGAAGTAGGGAGACTGCTGGAAGCCACTCTGGGTCTACGATGGAAGGACAGGCAGGGCACAAGTGAACCTGTTTCTGTTCTGTTTAAAAGTGGAAGTGAACGTTCTCAGAAGGAGCTGAATTCTGCATTCACCACCACACTCTGCACTCTGCCAGGTACAGAGCCCTGGCCACCCAGGTGCAGGCTGGTGAAAGTGACCGACTGCAGCCATTGCAGGACTGAGGCGAGCACCTTCCGAAGCACCCGGCCGAAAGAACGCACAGCACCGCATTCCTTGGGGTCTGATGTCTCCACAAGCACGTGCAAGAAGCAAATGCTATGTGCATGAAAAGGGTGCCGTTTTAGTAAATGGTTTTAACCGCAAGCCCAGAATTCAAGGCAGGGGCAGCTCTTTACACAGGAGAAGTGGGGTTTTTTGTTACATCGAGTGCTGCTTTTGTGTAAAGACTCTGCCTTGAATTCTGGGCTTCTGGTTAACATTGAGTTATCTTTTCTTTGCAGCGGGAACAGGAAGGTCCCTGTCCCTGACCCTCCACAACGGCCTCCTAGCAGGGAAAAAAAGCTCACCCTCGGTGACGCAGCTGCAGAAACAGCACTGGAACCTTCGTCCACCCTCAATGAACTGCATAAAAGGGCACATGTAGGCTTTGCACCTATTGCACCGGATGGGACCCGATTCTCCATGGTCTACCAAATAAGGAGGAGCCTGGAATGGAAGAAGAAGAAGAACAAGAACGTGGGCACCGAGGCTATTTCAAGAGCTCCCCTTTCCTTCCCAACAGGTGATGCGAGTATCTCCCAGCATGCCTTACGCACGTTCTCCTACAGTCCATGCCAACCAGGCGCCTAGCCTTTCCCTACATTTGCCCCCTAACAGTTTTACACAGCTGATCTTTCTGTGGAGCAACTATGTCTCCTCTCCTCTAGGGGAGGGGGCCACGACAGGAGGGGGGGAAATCCTTTCTCAGGAAGGCTCTTACTCCCGGCTCGCAACGGTCAACTGAATCCCACTGAAGGGGGGACAGCAGTCTGGAACCGCTGAACCTTTCGTCAAGGGGGGGGAAGCGTGACAAAGTCCAGCCCAGGGATAAGACACAAACCAGCCACGGAATGTTATTGTGTTCAGATTGTTTTATTCATTCCTTGGTTGCCACGAACACAGACAAAGCCACCTTAGGTTGAATCGGACCATCCGTCCGTCAAGGCCGTTATCACCCACTCAGACTGGCGGTGACTCTCTAGGGGTCTCTCAGGCGGAGGTCTTCCACATCATCCACTGCCTAGCCCTTTTAAACCGGAGATGGCTCCAGGGACTGAACCTGGGGCCTTCTGCACGCCCGGCAGAGGCTCTTCCACGGAGCCACGCTTCCCCCCCCCCCATCCCTTATGTTGGGGCTTCTTGGTTTTATGCAACCAAAAAGCTTCGGTTTTATTTAGTGAGGTTATATCCCCACCCTTCCACTTTAAAAATATTCAGAGGTTGGCATACACATAAAAAATAAATGTAAGCGGCATAAAAACAGCAAACATAAAACACCAGGAGAGAAGAACCTTAAGTGACAGAGAAGCTCTGAAGTGGTCGTCGTCCATTGTTGTAACTGTCCTTGGACTCACAGCAAGTTTGTATTTATTTATTTATATTTATAAGTTCAATTTATAGCCCGCCCTCCCCGCAACGCGGGCTCAGGGCGGCTCACAATCAGGCATAAGCCAGCTCATAAAACACATTTAAAAACCATTTAAAACAATCTCTACAATATTACGACATTATTATTAAGTGCTCTGGATGTTCCAAATTGATCTTCCATAAAGATGGCGTATAATGCTGTGCACTGTGGCGTGCACTGTGGCTTGTATGAATGGTTATGCACTACTGTTGATGCATATTGGCTTTTTGGTTGTATACTTGACTTATCTTTCAATAAAAAGTCGTTTGAAAAATTACAGGGACCACATCTCACAACTACTACAGCCATGGCCCTGTCACACTCCACCTAAACCCAGAAGGTGGGCCTACCTGCCTTGGAAGACAACCCCAAAGGATGGGCAGGTTATATAAGAGCACATGGCGCTTTCGAGGTGTCTTCACCTTCGTATGTGGATCACTGGGTCATGATGTGAATACCAGAGAGACATACTAGCTAAGATGAAACCTTTTACAGGGCAAACGTCAGTTCGCAGAAGGAACGTGTATGCTTTTCAACACAGTTTTTCATCAAGTAAAGAGTTTTATATAGAAGAAGAAGAAGAAGAGATTGGATTTATACCCCGTCAAAGGTGTCCCTTCCCCTCCCCACAACAGACACCCTGTGAGCAGTGTTCCCTCTTAGCTGAGTTAGTGTGAACCAGCTCACAGTTTTTTAGCCTCCCGCTCACAAATTTTTGTTTTAGCTCAGGAAGGAGGGCTCCAGGGCAAACTAATTTAAGCAGTAGCCAAATCACTTGCTCACAACTTTAATGCCAGTAGCTCACAAAGCAGAATTTTTGCTCACAAGACTCCACAGCTTAGAGGGAACATTGCGTAGGTGGGGATGAGAGAGCTCTTGACAGAAACTGCTCTTTTTCAAGGACAGCTCTTATCAGAACTGCAGCTTGCCCAAGGTCATCCAGCCAGGTGCAAGTGGAGGAAGTGGGAAATCAAACCCGGTTCTCCCAGATTAGAGTCTGTGCACTTAACCATTACACCAAAGTAGCCAAAAGGCGACCTGTTCTTTACTGAACCACTTAACTAAAGCACTCTAGTGAGGTACGAATACAGTAACAGTTGTATTGCTAACTGAGAACCAGAATCAAAACCTGTGGTTTTATCACACTTGGTGGACATGTGAGAGATCAAAGAAATTTTGGCAAGAGATCCATTCTATTTTAAATCAAATAGTAGGGGTTCAGATTCCATTTGATCCTGAAATATTTTTATTAAATATAATGCCCGAGAATTTGCAGAAATCAGACAAATATCTGATTGTACATGTAGTAACTGCTGCAAGAATTATATTTGGCAAAATTTGGGGGGGGGGGGGGGGAGATCCAAAGGTGACTTAATTAAAAAAAAACTCATGGAGATAGCAGAATTAGATAATTTGACAATGAAACTACAAGGAAGAGAAGAAACTACTTTTCAAAATATTTGTTCACGTGTATATGACTAGGTAGAGAAAAAGCTCTAAATGTTCTGATGTGAATCTATTATTATATATTCGAACAACATTCTTTCTTTCATATGTTTAAAACTCAAACGAGGGGTTCCCAACATGTTATGTTGGTTTGTCGTTTGTTTTTGTTCCTTTGGATTGTTTGTCTTTGCTGTGTGATTCGAAAAATAAAGAAAGTATTAAAAGAAACAAAAAAAACCCTGTGGTTCTGTCAATATTTCGTGCATTGCTGGCACTGTGGCTTGAGAAAGAGTCTTGATGGAAGCAAACTGCCCCTCTTCAAGGCCTCAGACTGCGCACTCGCACAAGGGAGGCTAGGTCTCCTCTTGAGAGCAGGTGCCACCATTTCAAAGATTCTGAACGCTGGGTTTTTTTGCTAGTCCCACTTCAACACCCCTCCCTCTGTATCTTCCCAAACATCAACTGATTTGAAGTGTCTTATTTCCTTCAACAGGTGGAGGACAGAACGACTGGCCCAGCCCCTGGACAGTGGATGCAACATCTGCAGAATTTTTAAAAAATCGTGCATAACCAGGCTTTGAGTGAAGCTGCCTAGAGGCTTTTCAGTGGCCACCACAATTCCCCATCTTTCCCCTAAACAAAACCACGTTTGATTTAAACAACTTACGACACGTGAGGATTAACCTAAACGTGCATCTAATTCTTTCGATTCAGGAAGGGGGCTACGGAAGGACATCAACAGCAGTTGTTACAAGTTCAATACCTAGACGGTATCATATTGTCTTAGAGCCAGCGTGGTGCGGTGGCTAAGAGTGATGGACTCTAATCTAGGGAACTGGGTTTGATTCTCCATTCTTCTACCTGAAGCCTGCTGGGTGACCTTGGGCCAGTCACGGTACTCGGAGAGCCAGTTTGGTGTAGTGGTTAAGTGTGCGGACTCTAATCAGGGAGAACCGGGTTTGATTCCCCACTCCTCCACTTGCACCTGGCTGGATGACCTTGGGCAAGACGTAGTTCTGATAAGAGCTGTTCTTGAAAAAGAGCCGTTTCTGACAAGAGCTCTCTCAGCCCCACCCACCTCACAGGGTGTCTGTTGTGGGGAGGGGAAGGGAAAGGAGTTTGTGAGCCGCTCTGAGACACCTTCGGGTAGTGAGGGGCTGGGTATAAATCCAATCTCTTCCTCTTCTTCTACTCTCAGATCTCTCTCAGCCCCACCTACCTCACATGCTGTCTGTTGTGGAGAGAAGGAAGGGAATGCAATCGTACGGTGCTTTGAGACTCCTTAGGGTAGAGAAAAGCGGGGTATAACCTACTCTTCTTCAACCTACTCTTCATATGGCAACGAGGCCTTGAACGATGAGAGCAGGCAGCAGGTCTCCTGCACAAAGCTGTGCAGGAGAAGAGCCTTCACTGACTCACCATGCCGTCGCACAGCTAGAAACAGAACCCAGGGCAAGGACAGGCTCAGAGCAGAGGCATAAAAGAAAGCCACAGATCTGCATTAACTGTGGTTAGTCTGTGAAACCAGGATTCGGCCTGCAGACCACCTCACTTCAGTCTGGGCTCGCTCTGACAGACGGTGTGCTGAGGCCAGATGTCTCCTTCTGACTGTGGATGCACATGTGCTGTTGGAACAAACCAGGGTGTCCAAATGCATGCATGATGTGAATCCACAGCCAAGACCACAGGTCAGTCCAGATGCAAGATGGAACTGTGGATTTTCAGAAACCCCGGGGGGCTCTTTTGCTCAGTGATAAGGATCCCAAGATCACTCCAGCAATTGCAAAGTTTGTCTCAGGCCTTTCAGCCCTTTTACCACCTGCGGCTGGTGCGGCAGTTGGTTCCCTTCCTTGACCGCGATGACTTGGCCACTGTGATCCATGCGATGGTCACTTCGAGGCTAGACTACTGCAACGCTCTCTACATGGGGCTGCCTTTGTCACAAATCCAGAAGCTGCAGCTAGTGCAGAATGCTGCGGCCAGGCTGTTGGTGGGTCTTCCTAGTAGAGACCACATCCAGCCTGTGCTGAAAGCGCTGCACTGGCTGCCAATAGCGTACCGGATTCACTTCAAAGTGCTGGTTCTTACCTTTGAAGCCCTACATGGTCTGGGTCCAGCTTACCTAAGGGACCGCCTTCCCTCATATGTTCCCCCGCAAGCACTTCGGTCTGGGACGCAACATCTCTTGGCAACGCCAGGTCCCAGAGAGGCCAGGCTGGCTGCGACCAGGGCCAGGGCTTTCTCGGTGGCGGCTCCTACCTGGTGGAATGAGCTCCCGGTGGAGATCCGGGCCCTGCGGGACCTTGTACAGATCCGCAGGGCCTGTAAGATGGAGCTCTTCCACCAGGCGTATGAGTAGGAGCCGCCACTACCATCACTATTGTCCATCTTAACCTGGCCCTGGAAGAGGGAACATCAGTGATTCCCGGAGCAGATGATGCTGAGGAATAGAGCAGTGGAAATAGAGCAGTGAAATACGCCATCTTGTGAAATAACATCTAGAGCACTTTATTTAGTAATTGGTTAATGTGATTTTATTTGTACTGTAGTGATCTTAAATGATTTTAAATATGTTTTATATTGGCACAGGCCTCTTTGTAAGCCACCCTGAGCCCGCGCAGCAGGGAGGGCGGGGTATAAATTGAATAAAACATAAACATAAACAAACAGACATACAAAATAAGAAAGAAGTGTCTTCTGCTGCTCAAGATTGGTGAATCAATGAGCTTTTCAGGGTAGGAAAGGAAAGGAAAGGAAACTGTGGAAGAATTAAACTAGGATCTGAAGCTGGGATATGAAACTGGTTCGGTGACCACAATTTTGTGTCATGTTCAAACACAACATCCTGACTGAACACAGTGGGGTGGCCCCACATTCTGACATTCACACCAAATTCGACTGAAACGATGGTTTTGATTTATGTCTCAGCTGCACACATGGGACTTGTGAATGCATGGCAGAGTATACACACACGCAGGGCTATTTTTGGGCAGGAACGCACAGGAACGGAGTTCCGGCTGGCTCCTGAGTTGGCCACGTCCAGCAGGAACTCATTAGCATAATAGGCCACACCCAACAGCAGAAACTCATTAGGATTGGCTACATTAGGGGTGTGTGGCCTACCATGCAAAGAAGTTCCTGCTACAAAAAAGGCCCTGGGTTTTGAAAACAAACATGTTAAACAGAATAAGAAGCAAAAGGTGGGTGTGGCTGGATGACCACACTTCTGGTAACATTGGGGTGTGGCCTCATATGCTAATGGCATGTGCTGTCAGGGGTGTGGCCTAATATGCTAATGAGTTCCTGCTGTTGGGTGTGGCCTATTATGCTAATGAGTTCCCACACGAATGTTGTATGATGCACTGAACTCCACTGCAGCACCCACCCATCCACCTACTCGTCCCTAGCAGCCAATGGGCAACGCTCTCTCACGAATGCGCCAACAAGAATCTCTGAGATGAGTTCTGTCATGTCAAGGATCAGGTTATCAATCTCACCTCTTCTGACGGTAGAGTAGCCAATGGCTTTATGACTGCAGCAAGAGGAACCTGGGACTGCTTCGCCATATCTGAGGTACACGGAATATTATAGGATGTACATCTTATGTAGCGAGGACTTGCATTACCTGGAACGGAGCAGAGGAAGAAATCAATCAATACCAATACCAAGCAGTCCAGGTCTGAAGAGATGCAAGACTTCATGAAGTTGTAGAGTTTGGGTTCAGGACTTTAAAAAACTCTCTAGGTGTGCAGAAGAGGAAGAACAGGGAAAACAGCTCCAGAGTGTTTGGCTACGATTGCAGTTCTGGATCTGTCCACCAAGAAGCAGGAGCTATAAGCACCCGTCATTCAAAATCTGACTGGCAGGGAGAACGGGAAATCTAAGGCCCGAGCCCAAGAACCTTAGGAAGGAAGGGGAGCGGTGGCACAGTGGGTATATCCCACTGTCTTAACATTCGAACTGTGTTAGTTCGAGCCCCGCGCTGGTGTGAGCAGCCAGCCAGTTGTCCCCAGCTCATCGTCCACCCAGCGATTCGAAAGCTTC